TCATGAGATCATTGATGACATCAATGAAGCATTCCTAAACACTATAAATATGTGTTTTGCTCTCATTGTAAAGTACACCAACAAAGAGAGAAAGAAAGAGTGAAGTTTCACAGACAATGTATAAGAAAATAGTCTGTGAGAAAAATAGAGAGTAAGCGATATTGTATTTGAGGTGAGAATATCAAAAGAGGGTTATATCTTTTGAGTGTTGTAGTGGTCTTTGGAGTATTTTACTCGGACCTACAAAGTGTAAAATTTCTCACTATAGTGATATCAGTTGCTCGTCTCGGGGCCATGGTTTTTTCCCTTATTCAAAGAGTTTTCCACGTAAAATTCTTGGTGTCGTTGTCACTCTTTTATTCTTGTTAATTACCGTATCTCGGTGCTACGTGATTATTCCGCTTTTATTATTGTAAATATTATTTTTATAAGGGGTTTATTCTCAACAACTGGTATCAGATCACAGGTTCTGCTCGTTCACAGAAATATTATTCACTGTCGGTAGTACTATACACGATGAAAAAAAAATATTCGGAGTAAAGTATGGGATAGAAAAATTTAACGGAGATAGCAGTTTCTCAACATGGCAAAGAAGGATTAGAGATCTGCTCATCCAACAAGGATTACACAAGGTACTAGATGTTGATGCCAAAATGCCTGATACTATGAAAGTTGAGGATTAGGCTGACTTAGATGAAAGGGTTGCTAGTGCAATCAAGTTACACTTATCAGATGATGTGGTAAATAACATCATTGATGAAGACACCGCACGTGGCATTTGGGCAAGGTTGGAAGCCTATACATGTCCAAAACGCTAACAAATAAATTGTACCTGAAGAAGCAGCTATACGCCCTACACATGGGTGAAGGTATGAATTTTTTGTAATATTTAAATATGTTTAATGGACTAATCACACAGCTCGTCAATCTCTGAGTAAAAATCGAGAAAGAAGATAAAGTCATCTTGTTGTTGAACTCGTTGCCATCTTCGTACGATAATCTGGCAACAACCATCCTGCACGGTAAGGCTACCATTGAGTTGAAAGATGTCACATCGGCTCTTTTACTCAATGAGAAGATGAGAAAGAAGCCTGAAAGTCAAGGACATGCTCTCATCACAGAAGGTAGAGGCAGGAGTTATTAAAAGAGTTCGAGCAACTATGGTTGATCCGGAGCTCGCGGGAAGTCTAAGAACCGATCCAAATCAAGAGCTAGAAATTGCTACAATTGTGATCAACCAGGTCACTTCAAAAGAGATTGCCCAAATCCAAGGAAAGGCAAAGGTGAAACTAGTGGCCAGAAGAATGACGACAATATAGCCGCCATGGTGCAAAACAATGATAATGTTGTCCTCTGTATAAACGAGGAAGAGGAATGCATGCACTTATCAGGTCCAGAGTCGGAATAGGTGGTTGATACATCAGCATCTTACCATGCCACACCGGTAAGAGATCTTTTTTGCAGATATGTAGCAGGTAATTTCGGCCTTGTGAGAATGGGTAACACAAGCTACTCAAAGATTGCGGGGATCGGTGAAATTTGTATCAAGACAAATGTCGGATGCACATTGGTTCTAAAGGACGTGCAACATGTACCTGATTTGCGGATGAACTTGATCTCAGGAATTGCCTTAGATCGAGATGGATACGAGAACTATTTTACAAATCAAAAGTGGAGACTCACCTAGGAATCATTGGTGATTACAAAGGGAGTTGCTCGTGGCACGTTGTACAGGACAAATACAGAAATATGCCAAGATGAATTGAACGCAGCACAAGATGAGATTTCTACAGATTTGTGGCACAAAAGGATGGGTCATATGAGCGAGAAGGGATTGCAGATTCTTTCTAGGAAATCACGCATTTCTTATGCCAAAGGTACAACGATAAAACCTTGTGACTACTGTTTATTTGGTAAGCAGCATAGAGTCTCATTTCAGACATCGTCTGAAAGAAAATTGAATATACTTGATTTGGTATATTCTGATGTTTGTGGTCCAATGGAAATTGAATCGATGGGCGGCAATAAATATTTTGTTTCTTTTATTGATGATGCTTCACGAAAATTATGGGTTTATATTTTGAAAACCAAAGATCAGGTGTTTTAAGTTTTCCAGAAGTTTCATGCTATGGTGGAAAGAGAGACATGCCAAAAACTAAAACGTCTCCGAAGTGACAATGAAGGTGAGTACACTTCAAGGGAATTTGAAGAGTACTGTTCTAGACATGGGATCATACATGAAAAGACAGTTCCTGGAACCCGACAACACAATGGCGTAGCCGAAAGGATGAACCGCACCATTGTGGAGAAGGTGAGAAGCATGCTCAGAATGGCTAAACTGTCTAAGTCATTCTGAGGTGAAGCAGTTCAGACAGCCTGTTACCGAGTCCATCAGTTCCGTTGGCCTTTGACATCCCAGAGAGAGTCTGGGCCAACAAGTAGGTGTCCTACTCGCATATGAAGGTGTTCGGTTGCAGGGCTTTTGGACATGTACCAAAGGAGCAGAGAACAAAGCTGGATGATAAATCTGTTCCATGCATATTCATCGGATATGGAGATGAAGAGTTCGGATACAGATTGTAGGATCCTGTAAAGAAGAAAATCATCAGAAGCAGAGATGTAGTCTTCCGAGAAAGTGAAGTTGGAACTGCTGATGATATGCCGGAGAAGGCCAAGAATGGTATTATTCCTAACCTTCTTACTATTCCTTCTACTTCTAACAATCCCACAAGTGCATAAAGTACGACCAACAAGGTTGCCTAGCAGGGGGAGCAACCTAGTGAGGTTATTGAGCAGGGGGAGCAACTTGATGATGATGTCGAACAAGTGGAGTACCCCACTCATGAAGAAGAATAACCTCAACCTCTGAGGAGATCAGAGAGGCCAAGGGTAGAGTCATGCAAGTACCCTTCCACAGAGTATATCATCATCAGTGATGAATGGGAGCCAGAAAGTCTTAAGGAGGTGATGTCCCATCCAGAAAAGAATCAGTGGATAAAATCCATGCAAGAGGACATGGAATCTCTACAGAAAAATGGCACGTACAAGTTGGTTGAACTTCCAAAGGGAAAAAGACCACTCAAATGCAAATGGGTCTTTAAACTCAAGAAGGATGGAAATGGCAAGCTTGTTAGATACAAAGCTCGATTGGTGGTAAAAGGCCTTGAACAGAAGAAAGGTATTGATTTTGATGAAATTTTCTCACCTGTTGTCAAAATGACTTCTATTCGAACAATTTTGAGCTTAACAGCTAGCCTAGATCTTGAAGTGGAACAGTTGGATGTGAAAACTGCATTTCTTTATGGAGATTTGGAAGAGGAGATCTATATGGAGCAACCAGAGGGATTTGAAGTAGCTGAAAGGAAACACATGGTGTGCAAACTGAATAAGAGTCTTTATGGGTTGAAGCAAGCACCAAGGTAGTGGTACAAGAAGTTTGACTCATTCATGAAAAGTCAAACTTACACAAAGACATATTCTGATCCATGTGTATACTTTAAAAGATTTTCTAAAATTAACTTTATTATATTGTTGTTGTATGTGGATCCAATCTTGAAGGGCTATACAGATGCTGATATGGCAGGTGACATTGATAACAGAAAATCCACTACTGGATATTTGTTCACATTTTCAGGAGGAGCTATATCATGGCAGTCGAAGTTGCAGAAGTGTGTCGTACTCTCTACAATTGAAGCAGAATATATTGCCGCTACTGAAGTTGGCAAGGAGATGATATGGTTGAAACGGTTCCTTTAAGAGCTTGGATTGCATAAGAAGGAGTATGTCGTCTATTGTGACAGTCAAAGTGCAATAGACCTTAGCAAGAACTCCATGTACCATGCAAGGACCAAACACATCGGCGTGAGATATCACTGGATTCGAGAAATAGTAGAGAATGAATCTCTAAAAGTCTTGAAGATCTATACAAGTGAGAATCCTTTGGATATGCTGACCAATGTGGTACCAAGAGACAAGTTCGAGCTATGCAAAGAACTTGTCGGCATGAACTCTATATGAAAAACTGGAGTTACCTCCTTAAGGTGCATGAGACTGGAAGGGGAGATTTGATGGGTCCATCCCATGTGTAAGGAAGACATCTTCCTTTCGGCTTTGAAATGTCAAACCAACTAAAAGAATAGTAAGGAAGATTTTATGGTAAATATTTCTTTGGTTTCACATTGAATATTTGACTCTTGTCAAACTCATGAGATCATTGATGACATCAATGAAGCAATCCTAAATACTATAAATAGGTGTCTTGCTCTCATTATAAAATACACCAACAGAGAGAGAAAGAAAGAGTGAGGTTTCACAGACAAAGTATAAGAAAATAGTCTGTGAGAAAAATAGAGAGTGAGCGATATTATAGTGAGGTGGGAATATCAAAAGAAGGTTATTTCTTTTGAGTGTTGTAGTGGTCTTTGGATTATTTTACTCGGACCTACAAAGTGTAAAATTCCTTACTATAGTGATATCAGTTGCTCGTCTCGGAACCGTAGTTTTTTCCCTTATTCAAAGGGTTTTTCACGTAAAAATCTTGGTGTCGTTGTCACTCTTTTATTCTTGTTAATTACCGTATCTCGGTGCTACGTGATTATTCTGCTTTTATTACTGTGAATATTATTTTTGTACGGGGTTTATTCCCAACACAACTTTCTTCTAACTGTGGGCAGTCGTCAATTAGCAGGTACACTAATTTGGTGAGGGGTCGCATAGCATCTACAGATGGCAGATGCTGTAGTTTTTCACAGTTCAATAAAACTAACTCTTCTAAAGAAACAAGTTTGACGAGCCCATCTGGTAGAGCTTCTAACAATGGACAATCATCTATCTCCAGATTCCGTAATTTGGGCATGTCATCTAAGAAGTCCAGATGCTGTAGCCGTTTGCACTTCAGTAGTCCAATTTTATCACGTCACGTGTTCATGTTTACTAATATAAACTCGAAAAAGCTCACTGGTACAAGAAACTTAAAATCAAAATACACTTAAATCAATGGTTTGAAAATAATCAAGTTGATTATCAAATTAACCTAAATCCACTTCCTTTTCCTTTTCACATACCCAAAAAAGCACCAAAGTTAACACAACTGCACATCATCACCTTTGCCGTTTCGTCATAGGAATCAAAGATCAGCTCATCGAATCAATCAAAGAGTGAAATGGCGTTCTGAAGTGAGTAAATAAGTGCTAAAAGTTTAAACTGTTTGGTGGAGACAAAAATTTCTGTTTATAAGAAGAGGCAGGTGTAGCATGTACACTGTGCGGGAAAGGCCTCTGATGTTAAATCTTAGTCCAGGATTTTCCTCATACAAAGAAATAATGTCTCTGATCCAGCTTCAGCCAAGTGCAAATTAAAAAAAAAAACAGCCCGGTGCACAAAGCATCTCGCGTTCGCACAGGATCCAAGGAAGGGCCGCACCCTATAAGAAATGCAGTTTCCCTTCCCAATCATGACACTGAATCACATCTAAGAGAGGTCTTTTCCAGTCTACCATTTTGACAAAGTCCATGATGTTGTTTCAACCATGAATCTGAAACACAGGAAATGGTAAAAAGTCAGTCTCGGCAAACATTTCATTCTTGGAAAATGGAGAAGCAGATCATCACAAGTAACAACCAAAAAAAAAGACGCTTTAGGAGAAAGCAAAACATGTTAAGCTGAACAGATACTGCTAAGGCCGTTTTAAGAGCCGATAAAGCACTCTTTGCTGTAAGATTCATGACATAACAGTCTTTTTTATCTTCATGGAAATCTTGGTCCAATAAGCAGAGTAGCCACTGACCATCCATATCCTTTATTATCTTCACCATAGCACCTGATTAGATGGACTAAATACTGAGATTCTTCTTTTGTACAGGTTGAGAGAGAGGAGGGTCCCAACAAAAGAAATGAGGAAACTAGGTGAAGTTTAAATATTGTGAGAATGCAATAAACACTCCTATCGTCAATGTAATTGCATGGACTGAAGCTCGAGCAAAGGAAAAAAAGAAGAAGAATTATATTGAGTGAAGCACCGAATAGAGAGAAACTAATGTAGGCTTTTCCTAACAGCTTACATCCTAAATCTCCTTGCAATTAACAAAAGCATTCCCTTTCAAAACTGAAATATTAACACTTACACAATTTCATATATTGTTGAGGCATGTGACAAGGTTTATCAAAACAGTAAAATGAAAAGATCCTTAATAAACGGGGAAGGTCATATTATTGGAAATCATCAAATGATAAACTGAAAATGCCAATACTCATTTATAAGCTATAAAATGCTACACGAATTATCTGTGCATAAAATAACTTAAAAAACAAGCTAATTTCCTATTACAAGGAATAAAAGCAGTTGCCTAAAAGAAAAGAGAAAAGATAGAAAAGAAGACCAACTAGCCAAAAACAAAAAGAGGTTTTTATTTTGCAACAAGCATTTGAAGTATCACATGAGAACATATTCATCATTTGATGCATTCTTTAGCAGAAATACTTAAAATAGGAGGGAGACAAAGTATGCATACATGGAGCTCTTTGAGCCATAAAGAGACGAGATTGTTCCTTTCATTTGAGAGATTCTACAAGGCAAAGATTCTGTCCTCAGCAAAATTCAGACCAAAGCGCACCACAAATTAGACAACCCACCACAGATTCCATGCTCAGGAGAGACTGCTAGAGCAACCTTGTAGCATGATATTTGATCTAGTCACCTATGAGAAAGAACATAAATTTTCATAATTAAACCACAACTTTAAAGAAATATAGATATTCTTTGTTTGATGAAGAATTTGAAGAACAACAATTGGTTCTAACCGGTCCAACAGTTTAAAGTGGAAGAATGCTGAAGGGAATGCACAAATGCAATTCACTGATAATTTTGCAATTTTCTTGATGTCAAATAATTGTAAGAAAAGGATCAAATTAATATAAACTTTTTTTTATCGAATTCTTCAGTAATGTTATAACATGTATTGGTTTTGGGAATGAATAGTTTGGAAAACAATAAAAGAGCGAAGGAGAATGGTGAGAGGAACAATTGAAAAAGAAAAGAAAAAAATTGACTCAGAAACAGAAACAAAAACAGAAACTTACGTAAGATTGGAATGGTTCTCCCCCTAATGTAAATTTCTGGAATATGGGAAATATTGGACCATTGGGAGTTTGGGCCACTCCGATTGGTGCAACTTTCTTCTAACTGTGGGCAAGCTTCAATTCTCAGGCACCGTAACTTGGTGAGGCGTCGCATGTCATCTCCGGATGGCAGATGCTGTAGCTTTTTGCAGTTTGATAAATATAACGCTTCCAAAGAAACAAGGTTGACGACCCGACCCGACAGAGCTTCTAACAATGGACAATTATGGATCTCCAGTCTCCGTAATTTGGGCATGACACCTGAGAAGTCCACACGTTGTAGCCTTTCGGAGCTCCATAGCTCTAAACTTTCAAGAGAAATAAGGTTGTCAAGGTTCTGAGGAAGGGACTCGATTCCGAAATTAAATATTACCATCCTTGTTAGGGCAGAGAGTTGCATAAACTGATAGGGCAGAGAATCCCAGTTCGCACGTCCGTACACCCAGAATGTACGAAGGGACGATAGCTGCTGAATGCCATTGAACATCAACTGGAATGCCTCGAAATCTACCAACTCTGAGAAAAGACCTATGGTCAATTCCCTTAACCCAGTGAGACGGTGAAGGCCCCCTGCGGGTATACTATTCATCTTGGGACATTCTGATATATCTAAATATGAAAGTGAAGGCATTTCCCACTCATGTAAAGGCAAGGAAACTAAGTTGTTACAGCAGCTGACCGACAAAAATTCCAGAGACCGACAATGCTCTAGCATTTCACTTGGTAAACTGGTCAATCTATCACAACTGTAAAAATCAAGACTTCGGAGGGAAGTCAAATGATTCTCTCCACTGGGAACAGGAACGGAACTGATATTGCAGAATCTAATCTTTAAGCTCTTAAGAGACTGGAGATTGTACATACTTTGTGGCAATTCACGAAACTCTCCGCATTTTAAGACGGATAGATGCTGAAGAGAAATATTGTTGCGTAGCATCTCATCTGGAAGACAAGTGAGCTCTTTCACATCATAGACAGTAAGCTCTACGAGAGATGTCAAGTTGCTGCACAAGGTCAACAATGGCATTTCACTGTCAACTACTTCAATGCTTAATTCACGTAGGACTTCAAATTGATTTGGAGTACTTTTTAACCGCCGACAATTGCTAATGCTCAACTTCTCAAGCGCAGGAAACATTCTTACTACAACTCTGTCTCGACCACCATCTCTTGTTGGCATCAATTCCACTCCCTTCCACTCAATGAGGCTAGGCATATGCTTCAATACCAGTTCTTTGAGTAACGGGAACACTTGGATATTGGCGTTATTGCTGCTCGATCCATTATAGTTAACATCAACACCATAAAATGCAGGTCCAATGCATTCCATCTTATCGAACCCGACCAGCTCAAGATGCCGAAGGAGTTTTAGTTGGCCAAGTGATGGAATTTCTATGCACTTTCTGCAACCAATTAATTTCAACTTGACCAAATTTGGTAGAAATTCTCCATTGAACCATGAAGGAAATCGAGTCCCCAAGTAGTCAACTACCTCTAAGGTTTTCAAGTTAGGATGCGGTTGAAGACCATCCAAAACATACTCATCATTGATTTCACATCCACGATTGGACCAAAAATATGCCAGCTTGTAGATATTTGGTTTCTCCTTTAGGTATGCTCTTCCAGCTTCTTCTCTATTACGGACCAACTGCAGACCGTTGATCGTCAATTCACCTCTAAGGTTTTTCAGATGGCCTAATTCTTCTATCCCACGACCTTTCTCTAAACCTACCTTGAAATGTTGTAGCGTTTGAAGACAAGTCAATTTACCCATGTTAAGTATCTGAAAGCGATAAGAGTTGTAATATATGTGTCGCAAACTTATCATGTGTTCCATCTCATCTGGAAACCCATTGAGGATATTGCAGTTATTGACTCTAAGCGTTTGCAAATTGTAGAGCTTGCAAATGGAGTTGGGTAAGGCATCGATACTAGTCCTAGAGAGATCAAGATATCTCAAGTATATTAGCTTGCCGATTGAGGCTGACAACTCCTTGATGCCTGACTGGGACAAATTTAAAACTCTCAAGAACTGAAAGCTCAATAGCATATCTTCAGACATATCACTGCTTTTCCAGAACAACGTGCATAAACGTCCAGGCTCATTAATCTTCTCTATTTGATCTCTTGGTGAGTTCCATCCAAAGTATCGAACTTGAGAAAGATTATCTCCACCATCAAATAGTTTAGATTTTAAAATATCTTCAGCCAAATCATGCACAAGATCATGCATCTTACAGTGTGTTATATTGTTGTGCTCATCTAGCTTAACATCTTGCAGCAAGGAATTTTCCAACAAAAGTTCAAAAAACTTGTTACCAACGTCTTCCATCACAGTGGTCTTTTGACATGGACGAAGAAAGCCTTCTGCCATCCAGAGTTGGATTAGTTGGTCCTTTTCAAACTCAAAATCTTTTGGAAACATTGCAAAGTAGGCAAAACACTTTTTCAGATGTGGAGATGGTAGATAAAAATAGCTGAGTTTTAGTATTTTCTTCAAGCTACTTTGCCCACTATCATCTTCACCTGCAACAAGGGGATTGCCCTCAAGAATTGTCTGCCATTCATGTTTTTCTTTGTTGCGTAAGAGGCCTCCCAACACACTTGCTGCCAATGGTAGACCTTTACACATTTCAACAATCCTGTTGCCCATGCTCACTAATTCCTCTGTAACCTCCCCATCAACAAATGCTCTTTGTTTGAAAATGGACCAACAATGATCATCTGTTAATTTTTTCAACGTATGAGGATCTGCTGCTACAGAGGATGCCACCTGATCCCTACGAGTAGTCACAAGAATGCAGTTTCCTCTGAATGTATTTATTCCTTTCAAGGTGTCCAAGAAATCGTGCCACAATATTGTAGGGTCAACACGCCACAAATCATCCAGGACAAGCAAATACCTTTTTCCTCCCAATTCATCTTGCAGCTTCTTGACTATAATATCCCTACTTTGGACCTCAAGTTTCCTTTCTGTCAATGATTCGAGCATCAATTCAAGAAAGCTCTTAGTTTCTAACATTTCAGGTAGACACAACCAAACTCTCTTTTCAAAATGTTGCTTGATCTGTTCATCATTAAAAATTATCTTAGCGACAGTTGTTTTCCCTGAGCCTCCCATACCCACTATGGGAATGGTGCACAGAACAACATCCTCTCTCATGTTCAACATCTTCTCCTTTATTTCAGAAACATCTTTGTCTCTACCAACAACATCAGAAGCAACTACCACAGAATCTGTTTCTCGAACTGGTAATATTTGGCGAGAAGGACCTCTTGGGGGTTGGAGACCGAGGTCTTTGGCTAACTTATTGATAGCACTCAACTCATCACTGATGTTGTTGATTTTCCGAGACATTTTCCACTTTAAAACTGTATTAGAAACAAAGTTACGGACCTTTTTCATCGGTTTGTTTTGGATCTTCATAACTTCTGCTTTGAGAGATTCATATCTGAATTCGTCAAACACATTTTCAGCATCTTCGGCAACTTTCTCAAGCATCTTGAGCCATTCTTCCACAGTCTGGTCCTCAACTTGTCGTCTTTCAGCATCATGAATGAAAGCTTGGATCATCGTTAGAGTTTTTTTCAGCATTTTGAGATCTTTCTTGCAGTTCCTTAAACTTTTGACTTCCTCACTAGTGAGAGAAAGCAGCTTCTCAAGCAAAACTTGAACAGTAGCACCAATTACAGGGTCGGCCATTGTTGCGTTTTTCCTTCACAAAGTCTTCTGCCTCTACACCCCCAAAGTCTTCTCAAAGTTCTTCTGAAGTCTGCTTTGCTAGTTGTTTGTAAACCACTCAAATAAAGATACTCGCTAAGTTTTAAATTTAGATGAGTTAGTTTAACTAGTCACAGAGTTTAAGAAAAAAGAAAAATATTTTTAAAACTTGTGATCTTAACATATTTCATTCAATAAAAATTTAAATAATTTTCCAACTCGAGTTCGCGACCAAACATTCCATTCAACAGAAATTTAAATAATTTCTGCTGAATAGACACCTTATCAACGACATGGCACCTTTGCACCTGTTGGAACTCAACTTCGTTGGCTATAATAGAGAGGCTTAGCCTCATTTTTCACCGCCGAAATCTGAACATTTCTCCCCTCTATCTTCTGCATTCTGCATTGTTTTTCAAAAGAAAAACGCAAGTATTTTGTGTGATTTGCTCCGCCATTTGAGTTCGCCGAAGTTCTGTGATTTGAAGTGCCGCGATCACAGAATAGTTATTCCATTCTATCCTGGGAGGAATTAATCCGAAACCTTCGGCAACTTTGGGGGATTAAATTCCTTAAGGATACACAAGAAACTTGTGGGCTTGGAATTTTTCTGTATTGTTTTCTTAAACTAATGTTTACTGATTTTCGGGTTTTGAATACAATGAGATAACAAGCTTAAAGAATTTAATATTTATTTCTGTATTCATCTTACTATCTGATTTGGGAGATTAAAATCGTAGTGATTTTTTACTCCCGTTTTGGAGATTAAAATTTTCGGATTTTCTACTCCAGTTTGAGATTAAAGTCTTTGTGACTTTCTACTCAATCCGAGATTAAAATCCTTGTGATTTTCTACTCGGTTATTTGTATTCGGTTTGAAGATATAAAATTTTTACCGAGATACTAATTCTGTTTGTGTCAATTTCTTACAGAAAAATAACAACAAGTACGGAACAACAAAATGATTCTGTTGGAATGACTACTGCTGCAATGGCTACGACGTCTTCAAGTGGCACAATGCCTACACCGGCGATGGTACCGGCAGAAAAGCCCGAAAAATTTTCCGGCGTGGACTTCAAATGTTGGCAGCAGAAAATATTCTTCTACCTGACCATACTCAGTCTGCAGCGCTTTATCAGCGAGGACATTCCGGTCTTGAGAGAAGAGACTCCGGCTAATGAACGATTTGTGGTCACAGAGGCATGGAAGCATTCTGACTTCTTATTCAAAAATTATATATTGAGTTGTTTGGAAGATGGCTTGTACAGTGTTTACAATGTCATGGAAACTTTGAAAGAGTTGTGGAATGCTCTTGAAAAGAAGTACAAAACGGAAGATGCTGGACTTAAGAAGTTTGTTGCCGCAAAGTTCATGGACTTTAAAATGGTTGACAGTAAGTCTGTCATAACTCAAGTTCAAGAACCGCAAGTCATCGTTCATGACCTCCTTGCCGAAGGTATAAATTGAATAAATATTTTTATTAAAGATATTGATTATATTATTAATTCTAAATTTATGATTATATGTATGGTCATAAATGAAGCGTTTCAAGTTGCAACATTTATTGAAAAGTTACCTCCAATGTGGAAGGACTTTAAAAACTACTTGAAACATAAGCGCAAGGAGATGATGTTGGAAGACCTTATTGTTCGCTTAAGGATTGAAGAGGACAACAAGGCTGTAGAAAAGAAGTCTCGTGAAAATTTAACAATAATGGGTACAAATATTGTTGAGGAAGCTTCGACGAGCAAAAGGAGAAAGAAGCCGTCTGGACCAAAGAATTACCCAAGAAAAAAGAAGTTCAAAGATAATTGCCACAACTGTGGAAAGGTTGGACACAAGGCTGCTGAATGTCGTGCACCAAAAAAGGACAAGAAGAAAAGCCAAGCCAACATGATTGAGAAGAATTATGAAATAGACGATTTATGTGCCGTGCTTTCGGAATGCAACCTAATCGAAAATCCTAGAGAATGGTGGATTGATCCGGGGGCTACTCATCATGTTTGTGCTAACAATTAGTTGTTTACTACTTATACTCCCGTTGGACCCAACGAGATAGTTTTTATGGCAAATTCTGCTACTGCAAAAATTGAAGGAACGTACAAGATAGTTTTGAAGATGACTTCTGGCAAGATTGTGACTCTAAATGATATCCTTCATGTTCCTGAAATGCAGAAGAATTAGTCTCAACATCACTTCTAGTCAAAAACGGCTTTAAGTGTATTTTTGTTTCCGACAAGGTTGTAGTTAGTAAGAATAAAATGTATGTAGGAAAAGGTTATCTTAGTGAGGGCCTTTTCAAACTCAATGTAATTGCCATTGATATGAATAAAATTTAGGCTTCTTCTTACTTTCTTGAGTCGAATAATTTATGGCATGAACATTTAGGCCACGTCAACTTCAAAACTTTGCGAAAAATGATTAATGTGAAAGTATTGCCTAAGTTTGAATGCAAATGCAATAACTCGAAATGTTAAATATGTGTGAAATCAAAGTATGTTAAGCATCCTTATAAGTCAGTTGAAAGGAATTCCAATCCTTTAGACTTAATTCACACAGATATATGCGACATGAAGTCAATACCATCTCGCGATTGGAAAAAGTATTCCATAACTTTTATTGACTACAGTACTAGATATTGCTATATTTACTTACTTAATAGCAAAGATGAAGCAATGGATCCATTCAAGCAATACAAAAATAAAGTTGAAATGCAACTAGACAAAAAGATCAAAATGATAAGAAGTGATAGAGGCGGCGAATATGAATCTCCTTTTGAAGAAATATATTTGGAATATGGTATTATTCACCAAACAACTGCCCCTTACTCACCGCAATCTAATAAAATTGCGGAAAGAAAGAATAGAACGTTAAAGGAGATGATGAATGCCTTGTTAATAAATTCTGGTTTACCTCAGAACTTGTGGGGGGAAGCTATTCTTACAGCTAACCAAATACTCAATCGAGTTCCCCATAGCAAAACGCAATCCATTTCATATGAATAATGAAAAGAAAGGAAATCCAACTTAAAATATTTTAAAGTGTGGGGGTGTTTGGCTAAAGTGAAAGTCCCTAAACCCAAAAGGGTAAAGATTGGATCAAAACCGTTGATTGCGTTTCCATAGGATATGCAACAAATAGTAAGGCATATCATTTTCTGATTCATAAATCAGGAAATACCGACATTCATATTAATACGGTAATTGAATCAGATAATGCTGAATTCTTTGAGAATATTTATCCGTATAAAATGGAATGTGAGTCCTCTAGTGAAAAATTTAAGCGGCCTCAGGAAGAAGCAAAGGAAAGTATTTTTGATGAGGAAAATCCAAGACGTAGTAAACGTCAAAGGACAGCTACTTCCTTTGGACCAGATTTTCTGGCATTCTTATTGGAAAATGAGCCTCAAACATTCAAAGAAGCAATGTCTTCCTCGGAAGCACAATATTGGAAAGAGGCAGTCAATAGTGAGATAGAATCCATATTAAGTAATCATACTTGTGAATTGGTTGATCTTCCTCCAGGAAATAAACCTTTGGGTTCTAAGTGGATTTTCAAAAGGAAAATGAAAGCTAATGGTACTATTAACACATATAAGGAAAGACTAGTTGTTAAAGGGTTTCGATAACGAGAAGGTCTTGATTACTTTGACACATACTCGCCGGTAACAAGGATTATATCTATCCGGGTGTTAATAACGTTAGCCGCCGTGTATGACCTTCAAATCCATCAGATAGATGTGACGACAACCTTCTTAAATGGAGATTTGGAGGAAGAAATTTATATGGATCAACCTAAAGGGTTTGTAGTTCCCGGAAAATAACAGAAGGTGTGTCGACTTGTTAAGTCACTTTACGGACTAAAACAAGTACCAAAATAATAGCATACGAAATTTGACCAAACAATGTTGTCAAATGGTTTCAAGATCAATGAGTGTGATAAAAGTGTTTACATTAAGAATACTCCAAATTAAATAGTCATTGTTTGTTTATATGTGGATGATATGTTGATAATGAGTAACGACATTGCTAACATAAATGCTACTAATCGCATGCTTACTAGTAAGTTTGATATGAAAGACTTAAGAGTTGCCTATTTAATTTTGGGAATTAAGATCCTTCAGACTCCTCAAGGTCTAGATTTGTCTCAATCTCATTATATTAAAATGGTACTTGAAGAGTTCAAATATTTGGACTTTAAAGAAGCAAAAACGTCAATTGATTTAAACCATACTCTTGTAAAGAATAAAGGTCAAAGCAAGTCTCAATTGGAATATGCTCGAGTGTTGGGAAGTTTGATGTACATTATGAATTGTACACGACCTAATATAGCTTATGCGATAAGTAAGCTTAGTCGATACACAAGTAATCCCGACCAAGCTCATTGGATAGCAATAAAACGAGTTTTGGGATATTTGAAATATACCCAAGACTATACACTGCATTACAATAATTATCCCGCAGTTATTGAGGGATATAGTGATGCAAATTGGATCACTGGATCAACGGAATCAAAATCCACAAGTGGATACATTTTTACCATTGGTGGACGAGCAGTGTCTTGGAAGTCGTCCAAACAGACATGCATCACCCGCTCTACAATAGAGTCTGAGCTTTTAGCTTTAGACAAGGCCAGTGAAGAAGCTGAATGGCTCCGGAATTTCTTAGAAGACATTCCATTTTGGACCAAACCTTTGGCACCTGTATACATACATTGCGACCGTCAAGCGGCAATAGGAAAGGCTGTGAGCGTTATGTATAACGGGAAATCTCGTCACATCGACGAAGGCATAATACCGTTAGATAAATAATCTCTAGTGGAATTATCACAATTGACTATGTAAAGTCAAAAGATAATGTAACAGATCCGCTTACAAAAGGTCTACCTAGAGAGGCGGTTGAGAAGTCATCAAAGAGAATGGGACTATGGCCAAGGACAAGTCACTGTTGCGGTAACTCTACCTAGAAGACTGGAGATCCCAAGATCTAGGTTCAAGGAGATCAAACAAATTCATTAGTGACGGTTCAACATTGTCAAAT